CTCTCCTCTCCTTCCCCACCACCTTCCTGATTATTTGTAATTTAAATAAAAATGATTCAACATGAACTTTTAGCTGCCTTCTAAAGCATTAGTTATGTATTTTCCACCGTTACATTTTTGATTGAATTATCAGTATGTGAGCAATTAAGCTTCAGAATAGTGAGAGCAGAAAAGAATCCCTCAATTGACATGCAAGAGAAACTGCGAAGGAGAGTCTTTACAGATTACTTTAGATGTGGAATTGTTTTGCTGAGGTTTCTCATCTCTAACTATGTTTTATAATGTGCACAGGGAAGGATTCAGCATTAATTTGCTTTAGGTATCAAATTTTAAATACCTTTCTCGGATGTAGTTCGAAGCTACCATTTAAAATAAATTTTGGTATTTGATTATTTTGAATGACTGTGGTGAGAATTGTGCAACAAATTGTAGTTCTTCTACACTTACAATTTGTGAGAGGTTTGAAGCCTGCAACCAGGTCAAACTTTGACTATCTAAATCACCGCTGTTATATTAATTGCCACAGTTTTGGAGCACACTAAGAGTAGTTATTGTCTTTGGATATCAATAGGTTTCGAGCAGAAATGCATGACTAAGAGCAATGTAAAACTGATTACTTTTGCTGTACTCCTTCACAGATTCTGATATGCCTGATCATGATTTAGAGCCTCCGAGATTTGCTCAGTTGGCTTTGGAGCGTGTCCTTCAGGACTGGAATGCGTTGAAATCGATGATAATGTTTGGATCACAGGAAAGCAAGGACCCGTAAGTACATGCACACAAGATACTTTTTAATGCATTTAAACCATGTGAAAGCAAAGAAACTGAATTTTCTTTTGCTATTTTTAGGCTTAGTGCAAGCAGTCGGATAGCTCATCTCCTACCAGAAGAACAGGTATACCTTTCTCAGCAAAGTGGCACAATTCGTCTAGACTGCTTCACACATTGTCTCATCGTGAAGTGTACAGCTGACATTTTGGTAAGCATGTCTTCAAAGGTCTAACAGCGAGTTGATGTTTTACCGCAAAGCAGTTAACTAGCGCTTCAATATCTTGTAGCTTAATTAAATTCAAAGCAACAATGCAATAGTATTTAATGATACATTCAATTAGCCTTGTATCATGTTTATCGGGCAGTATATGGAATACAGTTATATAAAATGGGTGTCCAGTTAGTTCCATTGGCTGGATGATTTGATTTGTAATGCAGAGTGACATCAGCAGCATGAGTTCAATTCCCAAACCAGCTGAGGTTAACATGAAGGGCTCTCCTTTGCAGTTTCTCTCCTTGCTTGAGTCAGGGTAACCCTCGGGTTAAAACCACCATCAGTCTTCTCCCTGAAATGAGAGAGCAGCCCTATGGTCTAGTTGGACTGTGGCACCTTCACTGTTATACAAGTATATTTGGGCACTACATTTTTGACATTGGGAAATTTTATAGTCGGGTTTTCTAATGTAGTGATGTAAGCTGCTTTTCTGTATCAAATTCTGCTTGATGTCACCCTTCGGACAAATCTGCTTTCTTGCTTTTCCTTCAGTGTTTTCAAATGCTATCAAAAGTGTGAGCAAACGTTGTAATGTAATTAACCTTTTTTTAAAAAAAAAATTTTGAAGCTTTTGGATACCTTACTTGGAACACTGGTGAAGGAGCTACAGAACAAATATACTCCAGGACGCCGAGAAGAAGCCATCACCGTCACCATGAGATTTCTACGCTCAGTAGCAAGAGTATTTGTCATACTTAGTGTGGAAATGGCTTCATCAAAGAAAAAAAAGTAAGAAAATGTTTATCTACAGAAATAGTGACAACCTTTTCATTGTATAAGATACATCTTCTGATTTACCCTTCTCAAATATATGCTTGGAAGTTTTGTGTAGTTAAACATGCAATTCAGATAAAAACATTACATCTGCCAAACTTAAAGGATCTGTTTCCTTTCCCTAGCCTATTTAGACTTCATCAGATTTACTACAAAATGTTTTGTTAAGCTAACAATTTCACCTGTCATCAAATCATTATATGTGATGTTTGCTTACATAATTTTGAGAAAATATAAGTATGTTAAGTAAGTTCCTTTACACCCAAGTTTACAGCATGTTTATAGCACCTAGTAAATCTGCTTTAACAATTGTTTCCCATTCTTTTGTAGCAATTTTGTACCTCAACCAATTGGCAAATGTAAGCGGGTATTCCAAGCTCTCCTACCCTATGCTGTAGAGGAACTCTGTAATGTAGCTGAATCGCTTATTGTTCCGGTTAGAATGGGCATTGCACGCCCAACAGCTCCCTTTACATTGGCAAGCACCAGTCTAGATGCTATGCAAGGCAGTGAAGAGCTGTTCTCAGTTGAGCCACTTCCTCCAAGGCAGTCATCTGATCAATCTACCAGGTAACTGTACAACTGTCATTTTATGCTGACTTGAGCCATTAATTTTGCAGCCAAACTGTGTTCTAGTAATCCATTGTCTTTTGCAGTTCCAGCCAGTCACAGTCTTCATACATCATTCGTAATCCTCAGCAGCGACACATTAGCCAGTCGCAACCTGTTCGCGGCAGAGATGAAGAGCAAGATGATATTGTGACAGCAGATGTGGAAGAGGTAAGTCAGTTTGGTACATTGTTTACTATAGATTCTTCTCCCTCAAAAATCAAATACTCCAAAAGGTTGCAGTTTTTATTTTCAGCATCTTTTCTGTTCCTTTGTTTTTTCAGACCTATTATTTTTGAATCTCCAAAACAAGCATAGAGAAATGCACAACCCCCCAAATATAAATCACTGATTCTGCGGACACACATTTGACGCATTTTTGATGTAGACTTCAATTAGGCTGGGGTGGTGGTAGTTAGTCTTGCCTCAGTTTGAGGAGGTGGTTTTAACCTACCCATACGTGATTAGAGCTGCAGTTATACATTGGCTGAAGAAATTTCTACTTATCTCCATTCTAAAAGGCCTTCCCTTTACTCTAAGGCTGTGCCCTCGGGTGCTAGCCTCTCCTACCAATGGAAGCATCTTCCCAACATCCACTCTGTCCAAGCCATTCAGTATTCTGTAAGTTTCAGTTAGATCCCCCCTCAGTCTTCTAACCTCCATCAAGTAAAGACCCAGAGTCCTCAAATGTTCCTCATATGTTAAGCTTTCCATTCCTGGGACCATTCTCGTGAACCTCTTTTGAACCCGCTCCAGGGCCAGTACATCCTTCCTGAGACATGGGGCCCAAAACTGCGCAGAGCACTCCAAATGTGGCCTGACCAGAGCCTTTTAAAGCCTCAGGAGTACATCCCTGCTTTCTATATTCGGGTCCTCTCAAGATAAATGCCAATATTGCATTTGCCTTCCTGACTACTGACTCAACCTGTGAGTTTACCTTGAGACAATCCTGGACTATAACTCCCAAGTCTCTTTGCACTTCAGACTTCTGAATTTTCTCCCCATTTAGAAAATAGTCTATGCTTTTATTCTTCCCAAAGTGCATGACCTCACACCTTTCCCATGTTGTACTCCATCTGCCACTTCTTTGCCCACTCTTCTAACCTGTCCAAATCCTTCTGCAGCCTCCCCACCACCTCAATACTACCTGTCCCTCCACCTATCTTTGTATTGTCTGCAAACTTAGCCAGAATGCCCACAGTTCCTTCATCGAGATCATTAATGTACAAAGTGAAAAGTTGTGGTCCCAACACTGACCCTTTTGGAACACCACTTATGACTGGCTACCATCCTGAGAAAGACCCTTCTATCCCAACTCTCTGCTTTCTGCCAGACAGCCAATCTTCTATCCATGATAGCACCTTGCCCCTAACACAATGAGCCCTTGTCTTACTAGCAGTTTCCTGTGTTGCACCTTATCAAAAGCCTTCTTGAAGTTCAGGTAGATAACATCCATTGGATCTCCTTGGTCTACCCTGCTTGTTACTTCCTCAAAGAAATCTAGTTATTGTTAGTGATGAAAGCATTGTAACTGTGCTTATCTTAAACCTTAAAATTCTTAAGAAACATAGTTTAGGTGACAGCCTGCTTGTTCCTTTGATTACTGTTTCAGCCTCAGCATCTGATATTTTGGTTGGGGGGGTGGCAATGGCCTAGTTGTATTATTGTTGGACTATTAATTTAGAGATCCAGGTAATGTTCTAGGGACCTGGATTCATATCCTGCCATTGCAAATGGTGGAATTTGATTTCAATAAAAATCTGGAGTTAGGAGTCTAATGATGACCATGAATCTGTCATTGATTGTCAGATTGAAAGCCATCTGGTTCACTGATGTACTTTAGGGAAGGAACCTGCCATCCTTGCGTGGCCTGGCTACATGTGACTTCAGACCCACAGCAACATGGTTGACTCTTAACTGCCCCCTGGGCAATTAGGGATGGGCTCATCCCATTAATTATTTTTAAATCACCTTTTAAAGCCTGGAATATCCTTTTGATTTCTGTTTTCAAGCTCACTAACAGTTGTAAGTAATTTTTGGAAATGATCTGAATTATTGTGTTTTCAAATTGAAAGTTGAGTAATTCATTCTTCATTGGAAATCTTTTTAGTTCAGAAATGTTTCTTGTTGGATGTATTCAAGGGGGGAAGCTTTATCCTGTATCATGGATTAGAAAACTAATTGATAAGGGGGGGAGTAAAAGGTCAAAGTAACAACAAGGTGAGTTAAGACTTACTGCTTCAGTGTTTGAAGTGATATCAGAAGTGAGAAAGCTTGTGCTAAGTGACAGCAATGACAAGTAGTAAAGACAGCTTATTATAAATTCTTGTGATGACTCCCAAAATTTGAATTCAGAGAAATGTAAAATTCTTGACCTTCATTTATATACTGAATTTCTTATTAATAATTTTGTTCTTTAAATTCTAACAAGGCTTGCACTTGTTACTATTTAATAGCTTCAACTTGAGTTGTCTTTCAGAACAATGCGGTTTTTTTGTTAATTTCTGGCTTCAAGGTACACATTGAACTTCTGATCTGTCTGTTAATTTTAGTAGAAATTACCTTGTGTATACACATTCAAAACAGACAGTGGTTCCTGTGTATGAAAATCACCACTTAGTACCTAAAACACATAATCAAAATACTTAGTCATAGTTTGCCATATCTGGATGTGCTAGTGGCTTAAGTATTCTGTAACACTACAGTAATCAATAGCTTCAAAAGCAACAAGTTTTCTTACATGGTGATGACTGTATTAAGTTTAAATTGAGTGCCGTGAAACACCGTGGGAAGTGGTGAAACCATGATCTGCACTCTAGAAATGCAAGTTTTCTCAAAGAATCCTAATGATTTTGTGGCCCCTTGACTGAACTGCAAAATTTTAGCATTGCCATGTTTTTTCAGAATTTTTTTTATACCGTATTCAAGGTTGAGGTCGTTGAAGGAGTAGCTGGAGAAGAAGACCATCATGATGAGCAAGAAGAGCAGGGTGAAGAAAATACTGAAGCTGAGGGGCAACATGATGAGCATGATGACGATGGTATGGAACGTGTATTTGTGTTCTATCATTTAGAAATATCCCGGTATCACTTATTTGTGCTGTGCATTTTCAGCTGCGCATGCTCACCTCCTGACTTTTTCAGCATGGGCAATAAAAAGCTGATTTTTTTTGTTCAGTAAAAATTGAAAATCTATTTTGCTTGACAATTTTTTTTACATGTGCCAAATATACTTTCACTCAATTATTTCCATATTTGTTTTCATTAACTTTTAATTTTAAAAAAAAGTTTGACATTTATTTCTTTTCCTGCACCTGCTCTTGGGAGTCAGCAAAAACAGCCTTTTCAAATACCAATTATGTTGGGTTCCTTCTGTAAAGTTCTGTCAAGTGAACCCTGCTTAGACATTTGCTTTGGGCATTTTGTTTTGCATGAGATTCTTTCCTGTTCATCCAAGATTATTGATTATTTTCAGCTCGTATTCATGTTGAGATATTGGTATGTGCAATCAATACAGTCGTGAGGGTTGTTTAAGAGCGATGGTTGAAATTCAGCCTAAGGTCATAATTTTGTTGTGCTTCATTAATGATTTGCATTGAGAAATTTTGTTTTGACTCATTTTAGGGAGTGATATGGAACTTGATCTCTTGGCAGCAGCAGAGACTGAAAGTGACAGTGAAAGCAACCATAGCAATCAGGACAATGCCAGTGGACGCAGGAGTGTTGTCACTGCAGCTACCGCAGGATCTGAAGCAGGTGATTTAGTTACAATTCTGTTCAGTTATTAAAATTCAATATCTTAATCAGCTCCTGCTTTGTTTACTACATAACTAAGCCACTTAGAGCAGTAATTGCTATTTATTCTTCAAATTTTTGTTCAAACAAGCTTATTTGTAAGAAGTGTATTTATTCCCTCAAGTTAATAATGCAATATTTTAATGAAGATGTGTGTTTATGTTGCTTTGTAATGATCACAGTTAAATACAAAAGCATATTTAATCAGTGTCTATTTCTCACAGCCTTTGTTATTAACATCATTTTTGAATCCTAAATTGCAGTAACTTGAAAGTACCTGTTTCACATGAATGTCATCACTACTTTACCAAAATACAAAGAAGACTTTGTCTGAACTTAACAGCATGGTTACTTGTCTTTCTAACCTGATAACTTGCCTGATTATTAAGGTGCGAGCAGCGTTCCAGCCTTTTTCTCAGAGGATGACTCTCAATCCAATGACTCCAGTGATTCTGACAGTAGCAGCAGCCAGAGTGATGATGAAGAACAGGATACATTTTTGCAGGATGAGCCTTTGGAGAGAACCACCAGCAGTTCTCATGCAAACAGTGCAGCTCAGGCACCACGCTCCATGCAATGGGCTGTACGCAGTACCCAGAACCAAAGGTCAACTAATACAACTCCATCTAGTACTAGCACTCCTGCAGGTGAGTCTTAATGGAAAATTACCTGTTGAGCCAATAAAATACCTAAATGCATGAGGTCAAGCTCTTGAGTTTGCAGGTTGAGGGTGTGTGGTTGATGTTGAGCTGTATGTGTTTGCTGTTATTATCCTCTGATGCTGACTGCAACTTCGGGGTGCCGAGTGTGCATGGTTTAGCACTGAAATCCCAGAGTTGTGGCTTGCTACTTTTGAGCTCCAGTGTAGGCTGTGTTTTGACCTCTTCAAGATCTGGCAATCATTGAAATAAGTGGGAATTCCAACTTTCCTGCACCACTTAACTACTTGAAACCCCCTTAAAAAATTACACTTTATTCAATTTAGTGTTCTTAATGGTAATATGCCTTAAAATTTGATCAACAATAGAATTAGCCAGAAAACACTACTTTGTGTACAGCCAGAAAATTGTAGAAGGGTATTGGTAAGACTTATTGGAACATTTTGGCTTCTGCCTTCACCTCATGTGTCCCAATTTTTAATTTCGATCAATGCATTTTGACCCATGTAAAATGTGATTTCACATTGCATTGTTATGGTTTGGAACTCTGTCAAAATCTTTTCATGTGATCAGTTTGGGCAGCATGGTGACATTGCTGTAGCTGCTCACTATGAACGCCCAGTAAAGAACTTTGAAGTCGGTCGTAGTGTCATTGCACAACGCTAGAGCTGACTTATTTACTGGAGACTACTCTCAATTCTCAAATTTTCAGAAAATGGCCAAGAGCTCTTCAATGTTGGAGCGTCCTCGAAATCATATTTCCTGCTTCAACAGTGCCCATTTGTCCTTATCGGGCTGATAACCATTCTTTGGTTTTTCCTTGGGCTTGTTGCCTTGGGAAACATCTCCTCTTAAAAAGAACAGCAAATGCACATGCGCCTAACTGGAAACTTGTTTCCTGGGAGGCTCTGCTGGGCACCTTGATGACCTATGTGGACTGGAGATCCCCATATGATCTCAACATTGGGATCCAAATGCATGCCAGAAAATGTGGCCCATCCTAATTGCAAGCTGGCTGTCATTCTTTCTTTATGTTTGAGGAGTTCAAGAGAATATGGATAATTGTGCATGTTGTATAAATTTCATTGGCAATATCTTAGAGAACAGTGATCTGATCACTTATTTACCTTTTCAGGGGGCTCAGCAGGTTTAATTTATATTGACCCTTCAACCTTGCGACGCAGTGCTACCATCAGTACTAGTGCAGCAGCAGCAGCAGCGGCTCTGGAAGCAAGCAATTCCAGCAGTTACCTCACGTCAGCAAGCAGCCTGGCACGAGCCTATAGTATTGTCATACGGCAGATCTCTGACCTCATGGGTTTAATTCCAAAGTACAACCACTTGGTGTACTCTCAGATACCAGCTGCCTTGAAAATAACATACCAAGATGCCATGAACTTGCAGGTTGGTACTGTTAAATGCTAACAAAATAGAAGTAGCAAACATTTGTAGTGTTCTTTTTCAAACTTTCAATGATGGTGTTTTGAGAAATCTCTTTATAACCCTAATTTATAATTGCTTATCTTCGGACACCCACTGATGATCCAGTATTTCCCTTGTTTGCTCCAGATTCATGATAATATTTGCTTTTTGTTTGAGTTCAGTCCTCCTGGGTTTGATTTGTTTGACGACTTTCAACCCTGTTCTTCACTTTGCTTTGACTGATGGAATGGAAAGTCACGAGAGGCAGCCCTGTATGTAATTTCATTCTCACTCGCACTCGCACTCCCCTCGCGCTCAGGGCTGCCTTTCATGACTTCAGTCAATGCAAATTGAGTGTGCATCTCATCCATGATGCCAGATTCTCTTCCTTACTCCCATGCTAGCTAAAATTCTCATCTGTTGTTTTCCCCCTCATTCCAAACAACTTTCATAACTTTTCCATCAAACTACAAATGTTTGACTCCTCCCCCAATCGCTAGCATGCCCATTTCTCCTGTTTGGCTTGCTCCAATTGAGTTTCCAACTTTCTGCACCCTACCCAAAATTGCCAACATTTTCTTTCACTGACTGTAGTAATATGTCTCATCCACTGTAGCCATTAACATCACCACCATACTCCTACTGTTTATCAATTATGCAGCTAAACAGTACCTTTTTCATTGTCTGCTTCCACATCACATTACTTATACAGTTGTTGTTCTCGCACAATTATCTCCAGGGTCTGTTTTTCATCCCAACCTCCTATTTCTCCTATAATTACTTTCCATGGTAATATCATCCATGGATATTGAGTTGGTTTATATGTGTACGTGTATATTGCCAACAGCCAACTTTAACTCTCCACTGTGTAACTCTTTCAATGCCATCTTTCTTGTCAAACTGCGTATCTGGCATACAGTCTGATAATTTCTAATTTCCTACAGCTAAGCCAAGGGAAAGCTAACGTCATCAATCTTCATTTTCTGGTCTAAGTTCTGTACCCCTCCCATTAGGTATATCCCCCAAAAACTGTTAATCTAAACAAGACTCTTTTCAAGTTGTCCTTTTGATTCTGAGCTGAACTTTCAAATCCGTATTCTCTGTCACAGACTGGTTGCTTCCTCAGATGCGTCACTTGCTTCATCCTGCTTCAGCCCATTTGCTGAAAAACACATCAGTGGTTTCATTGTCTCATTCATCCATTTCATTGTGTCGGCAGGAGGTTTGCATCCACTAATTTCTGTAACCTTCTGTTCATTAGATATACTATTCCCTGTATTCCATTATATGCAAGTGCTGCACATGTATTATTCTTTTTATTTTCAAAAATGTACTAGAATTAGCAGGTCACACAAAGGAACTTCTCCCAGTACAACACCCTGATACTCAGTCGTACAGCATGGAAATAGGCCCTTCAGCCCAACTCTCCTTAACCAAAACTCTATCCCCTTTCCTTTACCACCTCTACCCTCACTGTCCAAAGCCCCAAGTATTGCTTTCAGATAAAACAACAGTGGTGTGTACTACTTTCAATTTGGTATTCACTGCACCCTCAGTGCAATCTTCTTTACACTGGGGTGACAAGGCACGGATATGGTAACTGCTTTGTGGAACACCAAGATAGTTGATTAGCTCATTAGGCTGGATGGCCAGTCTGTGATGCAGAGTAATACCAATAGTGTGGGTTTAATTCCTGCACTAGCTGAGGTTAACATGGATGATTGTCCTTCTCAATCCCTTATGTTAATCCACCACTAGTCATCTCTCTCTGAGAGAGCAGCCTTTTGGTAAGGTAGGACTGTACTGACTTTACCTTTACCATGGAACACCACTCAATCTGCAAGTGTGATCCTGAGTTTTTTATTTTAATTCATCACCTTGCTTTCACACTGACCTCTGTCCTCAGCCTCGTGCTTTTTCAGTGTTGATCTATCCAAGCTCAAAGAAGAGCACCTCTTTTTTTTTGAATAAATACTTCACAGTTTTCCTCTTACAAAGCACTGCTGACAGCTGTCAGGGACCTTCCCACAGGAGTTTCAATCCTAAGCCACTCAGCTTCTCTGCCTTCTTGACTTTTAAGCTTCTTAAAACCCATCTCTGACCAAGCTATTATTCACTCTTAGAATTTTCCTCTTTGGCTTCACATTCATTTGTAATTATGAATGTTTGTCTGTTTCAAAAGTGCTGTTTAAACACCATTTATAGTGTCTCGGTTTGAGTATTTGGAATAAATACTTAAAATTCTGGATTAAAATGTCTACATAAGGTGAAAAAACCTCAGAATATTTGAATTCTTTTTCCAGACTCCTCTTCTTGTCTGTTATCCTGAAATGCTATTTATTTCTCCTGTTTTACCACAACTTTTAAACTTTATGCTCATTGAACCTCCATTTTTCTTTCACGTTGGTGTGTTGTTTTCTTTAAGTTAGGAGCAAATAATATTTTAAGGTTCTCCAAGCTGATGATTAAAAGATTTTGATGTATCCCAGCACACGCTGTCTCCACAGTAAGCCCTGAATTTGTGAAGAAAAGTACAATCATTCATGATAGCAATTGAAGCCTTACCAATAATTTTTTTGCCTTCTGAAAGGCAATTTGGTAGCCCAGCTTAGCTAAGTCCCAGATTGTCATTGACGGAATTTTTGCTTTTGTTCAAGCCACAAAAATTGTTTTAAGTCTCCTGCAGTGTTACTGCAGGGATATGACTTGATATCAATGTTTTCTTGACTTTATTTCTGTATTTTGCTATGTAGGTATGTTATTACAAGCCTTAGCAATCTCAATGTGGTAGCAATGTGTTAAGAGCTTTGAGGTAATTGCATTATGGACTGAAGTTTACCTTTCATCTGAGGGAGTGCTGATTTTTCTGTCATTAGCAATCGTTTAATTAATCATTGAACTTGTGTTCAGAGTTCACTTTAATTCTGCACGGAATTAGAGTTGCCTCACTACCTGCCCCTACATATTCATTGCAAAAGAAGTGAGAAATGCTGATGGAATGAGGACCACCTCTGCATGTTTAATGGACCCTAGAGGTTCTTGAGCTCTGAAGGGTCGGGTTATTGTTTCTTCTTTGGTCCCCTTCCCCCAATTAGTTGGCATTCAAATGCAGAAGTTGAACTAATTGTAGATTGCAGACTGGGAGCTAAGGAGTGAGACTAGGAAATTGTCTAAGATTTTCTTTGGTTATTTCCACAGAATTATGTGGAGGAAAAGCTGATGCCTACATGGAACTGGATGGTTAGCATCATGGACTCCACTGAGGCACAGTTACGGTATGGTTCGGCGTTATCCTCTGCTGGGGATCCTGGTCATCCCAGCCATCCTTTACATGCTTCTCAAAATTCTGCCAGGCGTGAGAGACTAACAGCACGTGAAGAGGCCAGTTTGCGAACACTAGAGGGAAGAAGGTAACCCTATTTTCAGGAATCTTGTTTTAATGATGTGTTGTCATTTAGTTGAGATGCACTGCTAAAGCCAATGTGTTCTCTCATTCCATCAAGCAAAATAGTCATTATAGTATAGCTTATTCAGGTAGTGTGCTCCAGAGCAATGCCATCCTTGGAAATGTTATGTGCTAGGCATGTCCATTTCCCAGGTAAGCTAGTTTTCTGGCTGCTTTGGCAGCTTCTCAGGCTAGTGACCTGGTTTCTGTGGAGCTACCCAAAAGTGTTCTGCCATTGGCACAATGAGAAAAATCTACCAAAGAAGGATACTATATTATAAACATGCTCCCAGCCCCCAAGATTTTATTCATACAGTTTTCTTCCATACAATGCAAAAAGAATGCCACTTCACTGCCCCTTCTGCATGAAGAGATTTTTGTTACAAATTTCACAAAAGTTTTTGTTAAATTTTAAATGCTTGAGGTGGATTTGGTACAGTACTGTGCACACACTTTAGTTGGGTAATTCAAAGTCTATACCAAGACAGATGTTGCTATGATGAAAGGGAGCCCTGGCTCAATTTAGAGCTTTTTGAAGTGTGTTAAGAAGGTAGTTGACTGCCAATTGTAATGAGCATTGGTGTCCTGTTACTGAAGAACTTCTGACCATCCTTTACTTCAGGGTGGAATAAAAATGTCACCTTCTAAATGACTTCACTTCAGGGTTAGCAGGCTCTTTTCTGGATTGCTTAATGTTTTTTTTCATTTTTGCCCTCATACATATCAGATGTACAGACAAGGCATTCCTGCAGAATGAATGAGAAGCTGGAACCTAAGTTAAAGAATGTTGCACAATGTTCAGAAATCTAAAATGGTGCTAATTAGCACTATCTGATTCAATTTAAAATTTGTCCATTCAATAGTTGGAGGAGATGTGATGTTAGTGTGCATTCATTGCACACCTATCACATGCATTTGCCTCTAAACAGTCTTTTTGATAAATATTCCACCAAATATTTTATTTGCCACAAAGTAAGAAATAACAGTTTATGATTTTGGAGCTCAAATTTGGACCTAGTTTGAAGTTATTGTATTACATGATAGTCGTAAATGGATTACTTAATTTCAGTCAAAGTTTAAATGCATTTGTTATCTCAATGGGGCCATTGTGCTTATAGAGCAAAAGTATTATTAACATGCATAGCAAGCAATGTTATCTGTCCAGAAGAATAATGTTTTTATAAAACCAAAATTTTTAAATTGACATTTTATAGCACAAAAAGTTAGTTTAATTATGAATAATTAGATTAAATACAGTATTGAAGGCAGGCTTTTATGCTTTATTTGGTCTGATTTGTTTTGTACTGAGCTAACTTGTTGTGGATGAATTTTAGATGTTGAAGCTCATTGCAATTTTGCCAATGTTTTTATCTTCCCAGACGTGCTACTTTGTTGAATGCTCGTCAAGGAATGATGTCTGCACGTGGTGATTTTCTCAATTATGCCCTTTCTCTCATGCGTTCCCATAATGATGAACATTCTGATGTCCTGCCAGTGTTGGATGTTTGCTCATTAAAGCATGTAGCATACGTTTTCCAGGCACTTATTTATTGGATTAAAGCAATGAACCAGCAGACAACATTGGATACGCCACAGCTAGATCGAAAACGGTAGTTGTTCAGCTTTTAAAAATTATTTTTGCATTATATTAATGGAACATTTCCTTCTCGTTGTCTACCCTTAATCCCCCTAATTGACTGTCTTGTAGTCCTGCTTATGGTACTACAGTACAGTAAAACAATATTTTGACCCAGCAGTGATGAATGGATAACAGTATAAATGTCTTTGAGAGTTAGTAACATAGAATATCATATCCCTTTTGATCTTGTTGCTCTTGTTTGCCTTGTGAATGGAGTTTGCTGAGGTTGGACTTGGGCAGTACATCTTGCTGTGTGCTGCAGCCACAGTGAACTGATGGTGGAAAGAATGAGTGCTGAGTCTAGTGAAGGGGGCAGCTACTAGATTGCTATCACTAACATATCGGACTGTGCTCCCCTGGGAGATGTAGAACTACTTGTGTTCTTGAAGTTTAGCTATTTAGGTGATGATTATGTCACATTTCTGACTTTAGCTCTGTCCTCTCAAAGCCTCAACACCATTTACAAAGCTAATACATTTGCTGCAGAGCACTCATCTTTTCCCATCTCTAAGCACATTGTTCAGATACTTGTATGTAACTGAGCTACTGTTTAATTGATAGCTTACCTAAGTAATTAACATGTACTGGAGAACTGGATGTATTTAACACTTCACTGGCCACCGGTGATGTGCCAGGTGACTGGAGGATAGCTGATGTGGTTTGTTTGTTCAAGAAGGGCAGCTGGGATAAGCCAGGTAATTATAGTTAGTCTGATGTCAGTGGTCAGGAAAATTATAGGAAAGATCTGAAGTACAGGACTAATCAATACTTGGAAAGGCAGGAGTTGATCAGGGATAGTCAGCACAGATTTGTTAAAGGGCAATATATCCCAATGATTTAATGTTTGAAAATATGACTAAATATATTGATGAAGGGAATTTAGTGTCAACTTCAGTAAGGGCCTTTGACAAGGTCCCACATGGAAAGCTTATCCATGAGGTAAGAGCCCATGGGATCCAAGACAAGTTGGCAAACTGGATCCAAAATTGGCTTACAAATAGGAGGCAGAGGGTGGTTGTGGAGAGTTGTTCTTGTACTTAGAAGCCTGTGACCAGTGATGTACCACAGGCTTTGGTGCTGCGATCCTTGCCATTTATGTACATTAACGATTTAGATATGAATGTAGAAGGTATAATTAATAAGCTTGCAGGTGACACAAATTAGTGTTGCCTTTCATAATGAGGATGGTGTCAGGCTACAGGTTGATATTGGTTAGCTGGTAAATTGGACAGAGCACTGGTGTAGAACTTAATCCTGAATAAATGCAAGGTGATATATTTTAATAAGGGAAGGATAATATGTGGGTCCTTCAGGAGTACTTGAGAACTAAGGGATCTTGGTGTACAAGTTCATAGATCCCTGAAGGTGTCAGCTCACGTAAACGAGGTAGTGTAGAATTTTGGCACAAGGAAGTATTGTTACAACTTTGTAAGACATCTCTTAAGCCATAGATGGGATACTGTGTGTAGTTCTGGTCACCAACTATCGGAAGGATGTGATTGCACTGGAGAGGATGCAGAGGATATTCACCAGGACATTGTCTAGGATGAAAAGTTTCCATTATGAGGAGACGATAGATAGGTCGGCTTATTTGTTTTCCTTGAAGCAGAGTAGGCCAAGGGGGTGTCTGATTGAGGTAAACAAAATTAGCAGATTGTGAGAATCTGTCCCCTGCAGCAGCCTGTCTTAAGTCAGAGGACATAAGTTTAAGGTGAGGAGTAAGTGATTTAGAGGAAATCTGAGGAAAACTTGTTTTGCCCAGAGAGTGGTAGAAAATGGGATGTGCTGCCTGTGAGGTTGGTGGAGGTAAGTACTTTTGCAATGTTTACGAAACATCTGGATGAGTATTAAAATGCCAAGCTAGACTACACTATGGACCAACTGCAGGTAAATGGGATTAGTGTAGTTTGGCTTTTATTGGTCAGCATAGAGATGATGGGCCAAAGGGCCTGTTCTTACGCTTTATGACTTGAAAGAGACTGACACTTCTTATTCGCAAGATTTTACCTTATTTAGTTTAAATACTTCTGAGTGTTCACACGTAATGCAGTTTTTGATGTAGAGATCAAGTTCTTTCCTTCGTATGTAAGAAAATAGTCACTTTGCTACTCTGAGATGGAATTGTACTACTGTGAACCAGATGCTTTTATTTGTGTTTGAAATTAGGTAGTGTAAATGGTGGGAATGGATAAACAATGCTTTAAACATGTCCAGTTACCTTGTGATAACAAGGTGTAGAGCTGGATGAACACAGCAGGCCAAGCAGCATCAGAGGAGCAGGAAAGCTGAC